ACCCTGCCTTTTATTTAGGGGCTGAAGGTAGCTTATATAGCACTCCTTCCTTCTATCTTCTATAGCCCAACATCATCCAGTAAGCTTTTGTGGGTGTGTAGGTGGGTGTGCCTTTGAGTCAGTTTTTGAGTCCTGGTGACTGCCTGGACCAGTCCCTACAGTTTTCTTGGCAAGGTTTTTCAAAAGTGGTTTGCCCTTGCCTGCTTCCTAGGGCTGAAGAGAGAGAGAATGACTGGCTCAAGGTCACCTAGCTGGCTTGGTGCCTAAGGCAGGACTAGAACTGGCCTCCTGGTTTCTAAGCCCAATGCCTTAAACCACTACCCTAAACTGGCTTTCTTTGTGGTTGAGGATGGGCTAAAACCAGGTTCTCAGCGCTTCTACCCCAACACCTTAACAGCTATACCACACTGTTAGGATTGCAGATTCAGATTGTGATATAGCTTCTGAAGAGACTACATTAGAAAAAAAAAGACCAAGGAGACTTCAACACATTTTAATTCTCTGTGTCTAATTTTTATAGCAGTATCGACAAAATCTACACAAAAATTTTGAAAAAAACTGAAGGAGCAATTACAACATTGATAACATCTACAGAAGAATTTTGTACATGATTCTCCGTGGAAAGAACATCACTATTTTTTTTTAATTCGGAGCCGTCGCTTGATAATTTCATGATCGCTTTCCTTTTGATCCATAACAATCTAAAAAAGAAATGAAAGAGTTTTTCTAACCAATCAGGTACGCAGATAGTACTCGGCCAAGCTGTAAGAACTGGGGCAAATTCTTTTTTGGGACAATAAAGAAGCAGAAGATAAACCTCCCAAAATGAAGAGACCTTCCAAATTAGAGGGACCTGTATGCTAGATCAAGTATCTTTGGTGCCCAGGTAACTGCATGATGAGGGCCACTGTATCTTATAATTTTATAATTAGGGGAGGTTGGTGATGGTTTCAGGGTTTGAAGCTACCCTAGGTCTGATGTAAAATAAAGAAATAACCCAGTGTTCAGTACATGTCCAACTAGAAGCTCCAGTCAGAAGCCAAATGGTGTGGGAAAGTCATTACTGTTTTAGGTTGTAATCTCTTAGGTCTGGTTAGCAATCTGAATTTATGACTCTTAGATGACTCAGGACTGACCTTGAGCAACAATAAAGATTTGGTTTGATCTGCACCAAATGCTAAGCAATAATGTACTTTGCTTTTTGCCGAGAACTTCCCTAGATTATGCTTGCTGACCCTCAAAATTAAAAAGAAAAAGATAAAAAAGATTCCCACATGGTCAAAGAAAAGCTATATTTCTCAAAATACTGACCATTTTTATTAATTTTTAAAAAATTTAACATTTATATTTTTATTTATTATTGTACGATGCTGCTCTCCATCTGACAAGTTACTTGATCCCTGGTTTAACATGTGTGGACCCAGTCGTTATGGCTTAGCATTATGTGCAAACTAGCTTATGCCTTGTTTCAACAAAACACAGTTAAACATTGAGATATGTGAATTGCCATGAAACCCTAAACAGTGGTTTAATTAGGTGATGATTATTTGTTCCATTTGTATCCTGAACAACCCTGAAACGTATGTTTCCTCCAGCACAGCTAAAAGACAAATCTGGATATTGGAATCGAATAAAGCCTCTAAACCCAGGTAAATAGTGGCTAATCTCACCTAAAGGTAGCAAAAACAAGCCAACTTCAAATAGAGGTAATGAACTCTGCTTGCTTTTGCTGGCCTTATTTATGACTAAGCGCAGTTTACTCTTAATCTGGATATAACACTGCATTCTGGTTGATCCATATCAGGAGATTTTGATCTTTTCTTGATCTTGCAGCTGCACCAGAGAAGCAGGGCAGAATGTAAGCTTAAAGCTTATTAAAGTAACTAATATCTAATCATTACACCTTATTCAAGCCAAAATAATGATATCCATCAGCTCTGAAGGCCAGACTACGCTTCAAGACCAAGGTGGAAAATGCTGATTTTGCTGAAATCCTATTGTTTCAATAGATAAAGATTAAGACTAACACCTTATGCACATTTACTTTGGAGCAAGGCCCACTGGGCTGTGTAGACTTCATTTTAAGTAGCAGTATACAAAATAAAACTAAAGACAGAGAGAGGGTAAAGGAAAGCAGAGAGAAGAGGATCATTGGCATGAAGTGAGTGCAATAGGAAATGCATCTGTTTCAATCTTATTCCTAGAAGGTGGCTGGGATGGGACAAGCCAGCCTCTAGGAAAAGCAAATAATAATAATAATAATAAAAATCAGAAAATATCCTAAATTTATATTGTCTGTCTACACAATATGCCAGTCTTGCCTGTTCTTCATCTATACTCTGCCTTTCTTTCAGAGAAAGACTTAAAATTGGCTTAATACAGTT